ATATATATATATGCGAACATATATTTATACATGAATCGACACTAAAGGAAAATAATTCATGTATCATGTTCATAATATGTTTTTAATTGGTTTAAGTATAAACAAATTAGCCAATCACACTAACAAGATTAGTGACATTAAAAAAAAAAAAACGAACAAAAACAAATAAATATTTTGATTAATAAAAATCTAATGAATTTCTTTCATTATAATATTATATTTACACAAAACGTACAACAAATATTACACACAATAATGAAGCGCGCGGCAGAACACAGCCAGCCCTCCCACAACGACTGCTACAGCGGCTGATTTCCGGAGATTTCTCGGCTGCTCGTCGTTTTCTTACGATTATTTGGTTTACAAAGATACATAATACGTATATAAATATATTATATATATATATATATAAACACTCCATTCTTATATTTTTATAACATAATATATATTTATATATTATCGTTACAATATTATAATATTATTCATTATTATATTATTATTGTTTATCAATCATTAATATCATTATAACTATAATAATTATTATTATGACAGTGAGGGTTCACCACGTGTTTATATAATATAACGTCGTTTTTGGGGAGCGGGGTAGGTAATAAACATGACGAGAGAATAAAGAAAATACGTATAACAAATATAGAAACAAATCAAAGATAATATTTAATAATAGGTATGCCAAAAAAAGTATGCACGGGTATAGTCGTGACGCGGACCTGAAACATAAAATGACACGAGACAACATTAGTAACAAACATTATTGGTTATACGCTATTAGGTGTGACAAAATACGCATCTGCGGTTTAATGTTGCGAAATGTCCAAGTGAGATAAGCGCAAAAGTGTAAATTTGAAAAGAACTTTCTATAGGAAAAATGGYGCGAAATAATTGACCGCATGGATTATTTGCTACACAATATTAATTTGTGCATTCCGATAATATACAATATAGGATCAAAAATATAACAATATTGTTTTAATATTTAATAGGATTTTACATGTATAATATAATATAATATTGCACTCACCCGTGACGGTGTGATGGCGAAGACGTGTCGGCGGTGTCATTAGGGACTCGACGTGTCATTGTGAAGGCTGTCGTCGCTCTCTAGGTACGTGACGAACGAGTCGGTCGAATCCGGATGCATCATGTCCACGGGACCCGGGTCTATGTCCAACCGGGTCATGGGCAGAGGAGGACCGTGAATGTCGTAACCGTGCATCTGCGAACACAACCGCGGTAATGGTCAAGTAAATGCGATAACGTATTAGGCAATGTAGCAGTATAACAAAACCGTGTGTAATTTATTAATTATAACAATAATATTATTTCAATCGTGAACATTAATTATTTAGGCGTATTGAAACTAAAATAGACATAAAATTTCGTAATAGACGGATGATATCCGTGGTGGAGTGCAAGCGCTATTATAATATGAAAAATCGAACGTGTGTTACTATACATAGATACCTAATACATAATATTATCATCTCATTTGTAAATTATATTATTAAAATATTTTAATACAGCTGCAGCGTATGTGKATGAGCTTGTGTTGTTTGAGAAACCAAAAGAATTAATATAATTATCTATAAGAAATGCTGCACGAATTACATTCGGTCGAATAAAATATACATACGTCGCTCAACTCCTGTATACCTACTACACACACACACTCACACACACACACACATATATATATATATATACATCACGCCTGTAAATATTTAGGTGCGTATTATACATATTATTATTTATTATGCGTGTTATACGATAGAAGAAAAAAAAATATTATATTATACGACGGGACAAGGTTGTCTGTACGACGTGCACACACACACACACACACACACACAACAACAACAACAACAGCACACGATAGTTGTTGTATACGGATGGCGGCAGTGACCGGGTAGGACCACTCGGTATATTTTATTATTACGTATATTCTGTATATACTATATAGGTACAACCACTACACCGGTGTTGCGGACACATCACGCGTGGTAATTACACATTCAGGGGCAGTGTAATCCCGCGTTAAGTCGACAGCGCAGTCTTGTGTACCTACACACACACACACACGGCTGCTGTTACTTTCCAATAATATCACCGGGATTATCCTTGTCAAGGCATCACGCATATTATAACCGTAGTGTGACTACCGATTATACAACGTGCACGTGTGTGTGTGTGTGTGGGTACCTACGCGACAGTAATGATGGTAAAATTAAAAATTAAAAAAAAACACACGATTCCTTGACAGCGACGGGTCTCGGCCGAATAATAAAAAACCTTCGACTGGCAACGTCATAAAATAATWATTATTATATAATTATTTTAAAGCGCGGTTGCAGTGCGCTACAGCTAGGCTGCATGTTGCAACTTTATAATATAAATTGTATGCGATCACGAATAGTAATGATGAGATTGAAAATTAGATCTATATACTGTCTATATTATTGTGTGTACGAGTATCATGTCACATAATGTACCTACTTTACTCCAGATACGAATTATTCGTAGACAATCAATTGCCATTGTGTATGTGTATTAAAAACCTGTGCGAATTATGTATTATAATGACATGTATAGCTAATTTTTTTATGAATATCACAATATAATATTGTTGAGCTTTTTCTAAGAATCATTTTGCTTCGCATAATTAAATCATAAAACGTACAAGCTAAATACGATGTGCAGGGCTTTTTTCACATCGCCGTGTCCTCTTGTACACGCTCCGCCTTGTCTATAATATAATATGTTATTGTTTATTATCAAGCATGTCATTACGCGTTGCTGCGTTAGCCCCTATACACCCCTAAAGGCTTGCAGAAGTTATAGTATGCATTGATTATCGCACCAGCGTTTTGATAAAAATTATTCGCAAAAATGTAATATATATATATGTATATAGGTATATCAAAGATGAAGCTATAATCAAACGAACGGCTGTTGTGTAATGTGTGGCGTTTAAACGATTCGTCGACTGCAGGCTATAAATTGAAAATGATTACAAGTTATAAACAGACGAGTACCTGATTGACGAGCTGCTGGAAATGCGGTTGACTCGTGTCCACCCGGTCGAGATCCGAATGTAACGCAAACTCGGACAGGGCTTTCCACGGCGGCTGGAAGCTCTGCACATCGATCTGGTTCATGCCCAGCGGACTGTCGTGCCGCACCGGGCTGGACGCCACCATTGGTATACCCTGCATGCTGCCGTAGCCCATTTTTCTACCGTCCTGGAAAACATGCGACAAACCGGAAGTGTTAATATAACGACGATCGACAATCATATTATAATTTTCTGCCACGCAGATGTACAAATAACAATATATATATAGGTGTAGTAAAAAGTAACATTAATCGATCGGTTGACCTGTTCCAAATTCCAAATTTAACCTATTATTTTCATACCTATATATAAAAATATGTCTTACGAAAGTTCGGTGTTTTTAAACATATATTATATGTATGGACGTGGAGTTATTGAATTTCAAGACAACTATATAATACCTATATTATATAGTTAATTATAGCGTCGTATCGTCTCAGAAGGCACATAATCATCTCAAGCGAATCAAAAATTAATTTATCGAAAACAACAAAGATTTTGTAGCCAACAACTCGATTTGGTTAACAAATATTGACAAAAAAATCATTGGTAAATAAGTTTGTGTGTGTGTGTTTTGGCTTTCTTGCATGTATATATTGACGTTTATTTAGGAGTCCGGAGGCGGGGTCGTCGACGTTTTTTGAACTATGGGCAAGAGATGGGAAGGGGGAGAGAAAAAAGTTATAATAACACGACAGCCGAACGCAGCAATGATTGAAGAGAAAAAAAAACCACCGCCCAAGTCGTTGGCAGTCCGTCAACAAACTGCCTATCCAAAATTGACGGTTCGAAAAATAAAACTCGGTTCGACTTAACTATATAGGCGCGCACGCGCTTGTKTGTAGGTATTTTAAGAATTACCCGTCATCTGTCGATTTGAAGAGTGCACAGATTTAATAAACGCGCGTGATGTGTAAAAATACCCATTTGGATTTATTGAACGAAGAGGCTTTGCAAAACCGAATAGATTCATTTTTCTATAGCTGCATTGCTGCATTATAATATATTATTGTATCGTTGAGCTATAGAAAATGCATGTATACGCTAGATCAGTGGTATTCTTAACCTGTAGTCCGCAGCCACCTGGGGGCCTGCGATATTCATGTCGGGGGTCTGAGGTAGTCTTAAGACCTAACATAAGTCAATAGGTATACCATGAGTGCAATATTACGATAATTTTGGATTATTATTATTTTTCTTTTTTCATATAAAATATATCTTACGTTGTAAGAGATAAACCTATATGTTATTACTTCCTATAATTATTTTTAATATTAAAATAATTATTATAATTTTATGATGACACAAAATGTCTTGTAAAAAAGGCAAAAAAATGGTAGGGGGTCCGAGATTTCTAAAAATCTTTCATCGGGGTTCTACGAAAGGTTAAGAACCGCAGCACTAGATGAAGCGTGCACCAGCGATTGTAGATTTCTCTAAATTCTAAAAAAAAAATATCGATAATAGTGCAGATATTATTGCCTAATACACTCTGAACACTATTATTATGCTGCAGTGTATCGTACTTTAGGCTCTAGAACACAGATGCATTATCATGTGACATTTGAATATTTACACTTAGTACACATTATATCACATATAGTAGGTATATTAGTAACATATATTATAGACGATTGGAAAATGCATTCGTCGTTATCATTAAAAACTCTTAAGTGACTATGTCTAGTATATTATAAAAGTGCTTTTTGTCGCCCTATTGTTTATATTATACGAAATCGTTTCAAACCGTATTGGTGGTCGTTCGGTGGGCTAACGCCGCGCCGCTTACAATAGGTCGTAGTATCAACGTATATAGTATATAGATAAGAATATACATTGTAACGTATGAGCAGCGTATAAAATATATTAGTTATTGAATATATTATTATAATAGGTTTACGTGTTCGTGTCTAATGGTCTTGCGGTCTATAATATATCGGTATATTTAATTAACCCTGTCGCGTTCTCATATGTGACGTTTCAGGTATATACCTCATCGATACCCAACTATACACATACATATTATATACATAACCACTTCTAACCACACTGTGTTATTATAATAACATAATGTAGGCACTGCAACTGCTGCAGTAGGTACCTACCTCGTATACAGTGTCGGGTACCGGAGAATGAACGATCGTGGAGGTAATTATTATTATTATTCTTATTATCGTTTGCGTCGTCGTGGAGATAAAAAAAAGGAATAATATTATATGTAAAAACAACAACACACGACTGCGGACCAAAGGCGGCGTCGTCGTCATCGTCGTCGATGATGGGAAATACCGTCACGTCGAGCGTGGAACAAGCATTTATCTATCGACTTCGGCGATATCTTCCGCGGCGGCTGCGGTGGCGGCGCCAAACGGGCGACACGATGGCGACATTGTAATCGGAAGGCAGCCGTCACGGAACACACATAACCGGTTTCTAAGCCCGCTAAATGGAAACTCGAGAATATAATATATGTGTATGTGTGTGTATGTGTGTGTGTGTGTGTGTTTTATAATATATTATTCTCTTTTTATTATACACGATATTATACACGTTTATTTGTTCACAATRGTCTTGAAATTTTAATAAACCCTTAAATACGGTCACCGATTTTGTCCATTCGAAGTTTAATCCGTTCAAAAATAGAAAGCTTATAACACTCGCTTATACCCGTTACATGTAAAAACGTATTGTAAAACGACCATTTTGGGTGTATTTACGCGCCCAGCTCTGATCGCCGCATCGAAATAATCGAATACGTAATTTACGTCGTCGTCGAGGGACGATGGTTGAATTAATTACATCATGCGTGCAAAAATACGACGACTAATGCCATGTTAAATATTAACGATTAAAATAAACAAACACTGGAAGGTTTTTTTCTGTTGTAATGTTATATAGTACCTACCTTAGATTTATTTTCACATCGTTTTTAATCTCCGGATAAAAATAATTGGTAATATATGCTATGATGATAACAATATATTATATTATAATAATTGTGATTGGAAAACATTCATCGTTAAAAAATGGAACATCGAAAAAGTTATAGAAAATGTAATTTACTTCAAAATATATAATATGTGAAAATAAAAGTCGACATTTCTAAAGTTCAGCGAAATATTTACGGAAATGTGGAAAATTTTCGTAAATAATGAATAATGCGTATTTAGCTCAAAATTAAATTCGGCTTGGGTTAACCTAAACCGATTGATTCAAATCTTTTTTGCAGTTCATTTTTATATACACATACGCATTCATACCGGTGGGGAGGGGGCCCGGTGAGAGCAGAAATATTATGATATGTTTTTTTTCAACAYATATAATATAGTTAAGGTATACACCCTATACACATTATTGCAGCAGCACCTAATAGGATCATATATTAAACGCCGAAAACGCGACAGAACCATCATGCGCGCGGTCACGAAATATAATATATATATTCGTAAAAAAAATCGTATACGTACTTTGTCTTGTTGTATTTGCTGTTTGAGTGCGATGGCTCGTTTCTTGTCCTTGCACCGTTTGTTTTGGAACCACACGCGTATGACCCGCGGGCTGAGTCCGGTCATCTCGACCAGTTGCTCCTTCATGAGGGCGTCCGGCCGCGGGTTGGCCGAGTAGCACGTCCGCAACGTGTGCAGCTGCTTCTCGTTGAGCACCGTCCGGACGCGGGTCGGTTTGCCGTCCGACGAGCCTTTGCCCGCCGACCCAAGCCGGCTGTTTCCGGGACCGTCCGATCCGGTCCGGCCCGAACACTTGTTCGAGCCCGATTCTGACGAGTCTGAAACCGATATAAACGCGTCCGTTTCAATAGTTTATATTATATTATCGAGTATACAAAAACTATAATAATATAATATAATGATGATGGTGACGGATATGAAGTCTATTATATATACKTATATTATTATTCGAGCGATTAAAAGGCGCCTCATATATTCTGATGCGTTATTGCAGTATTYAGATTAGGCTATAGCGCAGCGGTACTTGAAACATTTTCTCTCTACTTGACCTCTGACACGCGCTGGTTGTTTGGTCAAAATCAAACACTATATCGAATTATAATGCTGTGCCTAATAACTATTGGAATATAATATAGTAGGTATATAATGGTGCAGATAGCAATGCTGCGTTAATGGATGATTTTTTTATTTTTTTTTTTTTGCAGCCGGCCTTATATATATCATTATTCATTATGTATAAACACGACGACGGGCGCCGAGATTTCGGTTAGCGGGATTTTCGGGAGTGAATAAAAATCCTGCAGGGTGCCGCCGAAGAGTAAACACAGCTCGGGGTAGACCACACAAGTGGTCCAGTTCCCATGCCCCCTTGCGCTTTCAGTGCATATATAATATACATATACATATATATGTGTGTGTGTGTGTGTGTCCTGCCTGCCTGCTCCTTATGTATATGATAACCCTATCCGTTCCCCGTCGTTGTCGTCGTCGTCGTCGTCGTCGCTATCGTATTGTAGAGCCCATTCGGGACTCCGGTGGTGGAAAAAAAAATCGCCCACGACAGCTGCGAAAATAATATTCGTTTTGGATTTCCATCGCTGCTGCAGCGTCGTCGTGTGTACACCACTTTACAGCAGTCGTACGTGTACACTCACTATATGTATATTCTAAACATATATAGGTATATATCGTTTACAGTGTACGTCATATTATTAAGTCGCAACACGCGTACAAATGCGCAAACCGTTGACGAAGAAGGGAACATAACGGTGCGTGCGTGCGTATAATATTTATGCGGCGTTTGCATCATATACGCAAATAAAAGAAAAAAAAAACTATTTGTTCGATGAAATTTGAATAGAAGGGTTTTGATTTTAATATTATATTTATTGCACTGCGAAATTCAATTGTAATCCGAAACGGTCATTGCACCGAACACACTTGATGTGTTATTATATATGTGTTTCTCATAATTAGGACAATCGAGTTATATATAACGTCATAATATTATATTAATAAGTGTTAAAATTGACGTAACATGCACAAAATAATTACTTATTAGTTGAAAAAATTACGGATGATATTACAAAAACGTAAATATTCAATGTAGGTATTCGATTTAATGTATTTTACCACATAGCTATAGGTACTAAAAAAGTAAAAAACATATTTTAAAGTAACAAAAACAATTTTTTATACCTAACTGTTTATTAGTGACATATTGACATATTTTATTACTGTTAATATTTTAGACGAACAAATTAAACGTGATATTATAGAAATAAAAAAGATACCTATTTATAATATTATAAACATTCTATA